AGCATATGGTTTGCAAGTTGAAGAAAAGCTTGTATGGACTAAAGCAAGCTCCAAGACAATGGTACAAGAAGTTTAACTCTTTTATGATGAGTCATGGTTATAAAAGAACAAATGCAGATCCATGTGTCTACATTAGATTATTCCCTGATGGCAAGTTCATTATCCTTTAGTTATATACTAATGATATGTTGATTTTGGGACAAGATGTTGAGAAAATTTGCAAGCTAAAAGAGGAGTTATCAAAGTCCTTTAACATGAAGGACTTGGGACCAGCAAAGCAAATTTTGGGTATGGCTATTACTCGTGATAGAAAGGCTAGGAAGCTATGGTTATCACAGGAGAAGTATGTTGAATGGATGCTTGAAAGGTTCAACATGAAACATGTTATGCCAATTAGCACTCCTCTTGCAAATCACTTCAAGCTAAGCAAACGATCTTGTCCAAATACCAAAGAAGAAAAGGAGAAAATGTCATCTATTCCTTATTCTTCTATAGCCAGTTCATTGATGTATGCAATGGTATGTACATGGCCAGATATTGCTCATGCAGTTGGTGTCGAGAATAGATTCTTGTCTAATCCAGGCAAGATTCACTGGGAAGTTGTTAAGTGGATCTTTAGATATCTGAGAGGAACTACCAAATTATGTTTGACTTTTGGGTAGACTGAACCAATTCTAAAGGGATACACAAATGCAGATGTGGCAGATGACCTTGATAATAGAAAATCTATTTCAGGGTATTTATTCACTTTTGTAGGGGGAGTTGTATCATGGCAATCAAAACTGCAAAAGTGTGTTGCCTTGTCAACAACCAAAGCTGAATACATTGCAGCAATAGAAGCTGGTAAAGAGATGCTTTGGATGAAGAGATTCCTCCAAGAATTGGGATTGAAGCAAAAAGAGTATGTAGTATTCTGTGACAGCCACAGTGCTATAGATTTGAGCAAGAATGCTATGCACCATGCCTGAACAAAACATATAGATGTGAGATATCATTGGTTGCACTTGGTGACCAAGAACAAGCAGTTTCAATTCAAAAAGATTCACACAAACAACAATGTTGCTGATATGATGACAAAAGTTCTTCCTAAGGAAAAGTTTAGATATGGCATGGAGCTAGCTGGAATGGACTCTAAGTAAGGGGTCAGGATTTAAGTCTCCTCCCATGGGGCTGGAGGGGGAGATTGTTAGCAGAAAATTCCAACCCATGTGAACACATGGACTTTTCCATGTGGTAAATGTCTTACCCTATGGTAAAAGGCTACACCTATAGCAGCTCTTGTTGAATGTTTGCA